TGATGATGATGATGATTATTATTATTATTATTATTATTATTATTATTATTATTATTATTATTATTATTATTATTATTATTTTACTGTCTGTAAGCAGTAAAAATATTGCAGTATGGAATGCTTCAATTCAAAGTGCAATTTTATTTTTTTTGTTAACTTGAGCCATTTTTAAAATGAATTTACTCCGTGCAGGCACGGAGTAAATTCATTGGGAAAAAAAAGGGGGGGCTGCAAGGCTGGCGGCGGCTCCGCGGGCCATCAGACGAGGTCTGGCGGGCCGGATTTGGCCCGCGGGCCTTGTGTTTGACACCCCTGATATAGCACAATACATTATTGAAAGGTAGATCAGTGGTTAAATGTGGAAGAGGTAGAAGACGGGCTTCTTGGATGAATAACATCAGAGACTAGCTGGGCTTTAATGGAGAACAATTAAAATACACAGCTAAACAGATATATGCCATGATGGTAGACGTCCTCAATGACTGAGAAGCATTCAAAGAAAGGGAGAGAGAGAGAGGTAAACTTAAAACCAAATTATACTTATGATAGAAAATACATATTAAGTTAATTAAAATGTCCTATTTCTGTATCACAAATAAGTAATACCTGTTGCTGCCTTTGCCTCCTCATTTGAGCAAACTGTGACATTAGGATCTGCCGATCCAGTAGCTCCATTCTTTGTTGCCTCTGTATGTCTACGGTTGCTCCCATTCCAACTCTGATCTCACTGGATGGCTCCGTAGATGAAAAAATTGGTTCAAGAGTCCAAGCAAATATTTTTGCTATACTACTGGGTACACAAAGTACATGATACACTTTTAACACACTGTTGCTGTAGCACATCCCAGAAATCTGAAAACAAAACCAAATTAAAAGTGAATGAGTAAAACAAATTAAATAAGTTAACAGAACAACACAGTGACAGACAAAATTCATATAATATTTTTGCCTCCTGTACCAAGGTGTATTATTTGCATCATCTGATGTAAATTTCAAAAAAATGATACTTCTAATGTCAAGGAAAACTCTGAACACGTAAATAGTATTTTCATCCCACACATCATTCTAGATTTTACTGAAACATCTCCCTCTCTGTCATCAAGAATGTGGTTATTAGCTACTATATGAACAACCACATTACTCTGAATAAAAACTGCTAGTAATGTTCCCTTTTTTAAAAAAAATCCTGTTTCTCATAATAAGGAAGATGCATATTAATTAAGATGCAGACTAAAATTTCTGTCACAGAGAGATACAAAATATAAGCTAGAACAGGGTGGGGAAGTTGTTTATCATAGAAATGGTCCTGATAGTATGTAATTAGGATCACAAAAATATTAACATCTGAGAGTCTATGGGGGATAGTATGACATCATTAGAAACTTATGAGAAGACTAAAATGTAGTTTGAATGTTTGTAGTGAAAATACCAATTGAGCAAGTCGTGTTATTAATTGTTGGCATGGAAAATCAAGGCATTAGATTAAAAAATGAAGCCCGTACATGCTAATTTTGTTCTGCTGATAAAACGGTTTAGGCAGATTATGAAAAACGTGAAACAATACAAAATGAATGAAGGGCTTTATTAAGCAAGTCCTCCTTCCAATTAAATTCTTCCCATGTTCTTACTATGTTTAATTTACATCTCACCCTTCTTTCAAATAGCTTAGGATAGTGTACAAGATTATTGCCAGCTCTGTTTTATTTTTACAAGAACTCTGTAAGGTGGTGTTATTTAAAAAACAAAAACATGGCATCAATTTCAGTTATCACAACCCTTTCCATGGGTTTTTAGGTAAGAATGCTCTGAAGTGGCTCACCCTTCCCTTCTTCTGCAAATATTAATAGAGGTGAAAATCCTAGCTGCAGAGGGCTTCCTTGCCATCCAGATATGGGTTTCAGGGTGCTGGGGAAAGGGAATTTATTTCCCATTCCTTTAACATTGGAATTAACTGTTCTGCCAGCTGAATACCACCTGAGGTATTATCCCCATGGCAAATTGCGGGAGAGCATAGGCTGTGTTTAAGAACGTTTTTACTTTCCTTTGATGTATAATGTAGCATGGTAAGAGGTATGACCCATTTTCACCCAACATTAGCTTGGGAACAAGACAATATAGTATCAGCAGACCAGCGTTACCCAAATTCACCTCGTCAGCTATCTTTGCAGAAATCTAAAATGGCAATTTAAGTATTACATATGCCACTACAGCCTGCTATCAGTGCAGTTACTTCTACTACCTGAGCACAAAACTACTGATAAAATATTTTCATTCAAACATGCATATATAAACACTAGTGTTCTACTTAAATTAGTAAGTTCTTTGATGTTGAGAACTTCACAAGTTATCAGCTGGAAGGTAAAAACATGCTAATTAAAGTTATTTTGCATTTTATGAAAAATTGTTTTCTGCAAATTACGACTCTTAGAGATATTTTTACAGTCCCGCAGTTTTCTAAACAAACTGGGTTAAGAGTACTGTCTTTGAATCATTATGCACAAAACTAAAGAAGAGACTGTGGCTTCCTTTATTGAGTGAATCCATCTCATATTTGGTCCAGCTTATTGTTGCAAAAAAGTTAGTTACTCTGAAGCTGTTGCTCCCATAAACTTTATGGATTTAAAAATAAAAACTACAAATCACCAAGTGGAACATTTATTGAGACTGATTAATGTGTCTTCTTCAGGATTTACTAACACAGCATTGTGAAATCAATAACCTTCTAAGAGCAGACAGACACGAGTTAGCCTCATGCATGAGAACTGGCATACTAAAATAATCTTTTTCTTGTTTGTCTGATTACATTGAGGTCAAATGCCTTGCCCTTTGAAAAAAAAAGTATTGCTTTCTAGAGTCTGCCACTCACCCATCCCAACTCAACCTTTGCTTTCACTTCCAAAAATCAAACAGATACTCTACGCTGGCCTAAGAAGACAGTGATATCCATTTAATATACTTTTTGCTAAACAAAAAATGTACAAATCAGCTGGAATTATTCACATTGTACAGAACATGAAAAGGAGAAGTAACTTATTGCTGCCACAACAGTTGTCATGCATGTGAAACAAATCTGTCACATCATCTCATCAAACCATCCTCTCTTTGCTGTTAGCAAAACATCAGGAAGCCAAAGGATAATTTTCTGATAATAATGCAAGGCTCCCAAAGGCTTCTGCAAGGCAAACTAGATCTCTAAGGGTGGGATAGGAAGATTTAAATTAAATTAAATTAAAGATTAACATCACCAGGTAGTGACAGCATCACAGTTTACATGCTGGAGCTGTACCAACTGGATTTGAACAACTGTATATTCTATGGAATAAAGTTCACTTGGTAAGTTTCTTATACAATTATCTGTGTACATGATCATGCTTTTTAAATAAAACGGGAGGCGGTGTCTTTGTGACAATGCTTCTTTTGATCTGTTAACCAAAATGTTCTCAAGCAACATCAAGATTCTCAGTCGTTATTTATCACACATTACTCCTAATTTCAAAAACAAAACAAAACCATTTGTGAAGAAAGAACAATAAAAAACAAGGATAATTTGTGGGTAATCAAATGCTGGCATACAAATTCTTGCAGTGCTCTCAACTGTAAAATTCAGCATCACCACTGGGATGAGATCGAAATAGTTAAGATTCTGAGTAAATTTTAAAGTCACAGGAAAAGGAAATTGGTAGCATTGTAGCAATACATAGACAGATTTTACATTGGAGGATTGTAACAAAAGGGCACTCCCAAAGCATCTACATTGGGAGCAGTGCTTTTTAACTTCTTAATATAAGATGTGGAGTTGAACAGAGGAGTAGTCAAACTTGCAGATGACATCAAAGTGTTCAAATTCCAAAAAACAAAAAGGGATCATGAAAGGCTTCAAAAGATCTCAGCAAACTCAATAAAGACAAATTAAAATGGGAAATGTAGTTCAATTCAAGACACACTAGAACAAACACTCCTAACTTTATTTGAAAAATTCCACAATGAGTCTAGTAACTTTCAAGTAACCACACTACCAACCTTAGGAAATGTATTGGCCAATACATATATGGGCTTTCTCTAGTAGGTCTAGATTTCAATGCTTGACAAAATACTTTTTTTAAAAAAAATTACACAGTGATCTTTCCATAGAACAAAGCACAATCTGAAACATCACATGACTTTCTTTTTTAAAATGTTTTAATAGAGAAGTTTCTTATTTTTAGAAGTTTCACACACACACACACACACACACACACACACACACAGAGAGAGAGAGAGAGAGAGAGAGAGAGAAACAGACACAACAACTACTGGGGAAATGGAAACATAAATGATGGGAGGCAGTAAAGGGACATAATACAGTCATATAGGAAAACAGCGTAAAGGAGATTCCACAATGCATCATGTTTCTACTAAGACAGAAGCTGCACATGGCACTTCATTCCCAAATTCCACAGAGGGGAAATCATTTTATTTACTGTTTACTGTCTTGAAACATTTTGCTCTGGCAGAGTGAAAAGCTCTAAAAATTAGGGTTTTTAAAAGGAGTGCTATAAAATATAACCGCTCTCCCCACTACTGTCTTCTAAATTCTATGGTTAGGTGCAAGAAGTTTTTTAAAAATATATTTTTATATTTTATATATGAAGCTAATTTCTTCCCCCACCTCAGTGCAGAGCCATCAGAGAATGGGAACCTTGGATCCAGTCCAACGCATTGTTAA